TTTATCTCTGACGATGGACTCTAGAAAGAGCCCGAAAGCTCAGACAAGTAAATGTATGATTCCGATGATCGCAACGCTTTCTACTTCTCTATCCAGAAATGTAAATCACGCAAGCCAAGTGAGGTGAGACATCCAGTGTCCTAATTTCGGGGCAAAAGGTAACGACAGAAGGTGCTGATTTTTCACTCTTTCAAAGACTTCGTCTTGTGTGCGTGTGTAAGTGCAGGTTGCGAAATACTGTTCCCAATGATCGAAGTGTGTGGCGTGGACAGTGAAAGAAGCATGAATAAAAGCGGGGGCGTCCGACCTTAAAACGACAAAGCTGCAAGCACATGCATCACCACCACCAACACCATCAAGGGGAAACTTCCAAAGACAAAAAGTAAACAAGGTAATGGAACGTAGCCGCAGGGTGAAACAAACAGCTTAAATGAACCTTCGCTTGGTCTTCAAAGTACGTGGTACTTCGACGGAGCTGAAAATGGGAGAGACAGTAAGCAAACATCCAGATTAGTGTCGTCTATAAACCACGGAAGGAATTCGACCGAAAAGAGCTCTTCTCTAATGGTCAGTACATATGGGGCGAAATGAAGCAGCGGGCTCAGAAACATGGAACTTTCTGTAAAATAAGTCGTCAGAATCTGGTTGTGAGTCAAAAACAAAGGCACGATAGTTGTTAGTAATCAGGTAGCATAATGTAGGTTAGGTAGTCCTACCGAAGCTGGACTCGGATCTCGAATTCCGCCCGAGTAACCGCCAAGAACAGTGGACTTGGAGGTCTTTAGTCGCGTCAGTTCGTTCTGAAGCGCGGCGAGGTCACGGTTGGTCTTCTCTAGTACCCGTTTAAGACGTTCCTTTTCGCTCCGCTCCTCTTCATACAGACGCCGGTAATCAATCTTCTAAAAGTTGCATAAGGTGAAAGCAGGTAAGGGCAAAGCCTGCGCGTGTGCATGTCCTTAAGCAAACTGGCAGTGCTAAAAGCTGATAGATATTTGTAAGCGACTTTGGCTGGAACATACGTCTCGCCATGTATACCGCTCCTGCGGCTGGGTGGAGGATGGAGTAGAGCTGGTAGACCGGATAAGAGCTCCGTTTGCTGTGGTAGGGGAGAGCTGCCGACTGGGAGAGGGAGTAGGACGGTCACCATTACTGACGCCACCACCACCGACAGGACCGCTCGTACTAGTTACCGACGATCGGAGGAACCGACTCGTGGGCTTGAAAGGGCAAAGTAAACATAGGTGTAATTAGTCAAACGGGGCGGGATGGCGACTACAAGGTCAGAACGAGACCAATACTTCAGAACAGATGGTAAAAAAAGAGGCGTGGGGGGGGGGAGGGAAGAACATACCCTTGGGATGGTTGAAGAATCATCAGTCTTGACAGAGGACTGCTCCAAGAGGCTGGCTGCAGCAAGGACATCGCTTGTGTTAACCTTGCCCGTGCAAACCCGATCCCGGGTTTTGCGACCACGGTACGCGGAGGGGGTGGTGTTGGTGATTGTTGCTTGAGTGCCAGGGGAGGTGTCTGCAGCCGAAACTGGCTTCTGTGAGTCTAGGAGAGGTAAAATGCAAAAACTGTCAGACAACCTCCAGGACAAAGGAGAGAATACGGACATTCGTTTAGAAACAACAGAGGAATAGACGAAGTTCGGTTTTTCAGTTCCGACTAGCGGATAAGAATCAGATCAGTAATCGAGCAATGGACCTGTCGCTGCCGATGTACATAAAACTACTACTCATTGTTAACATTTTACTGCTCAACAAATAAAGGATAACTGCAACAGGATGACTGACTTTTTCCTTCAGTGATTGTATCTTCTTTGCTCTATCTGCTTCCTTTCGTTTCTATAGGCGAGAACTTGTCAGTTTTGGTTGTCCGGAAAGCAGTCAAGCTGTTGATATATAAAACTTAAGAATGGATGCGAATGCTTAAGTTCCAGGTGTCTACATGCATAAAGGAGAAGACTGGTCGAGCACTGGACCAGTTTGTTTATTACTTTGAAATCGAAAGCTCAAAGCTCACTTACTCATATATAAAACTCGTTATAGTCCGTAAATCAATTAAGTAGTAATTATTTTTTAATTTTCAGGTCGCAAAAATTCCCATCACAGAAATCCGAAGAGGAATTGGCGAGCATACGTATACTTTCAATAAATTCTCATCAGGCCATATGACGGTGGCCTGATGAGAATTTATTGAAAGTATACGTATGCTCGCCAATTCCTCTTCGGAGTTTTTAATTTTACAGATTATTGAAAAAAATGAAATAAGCGCGGACCACCGCTTGTTATGGGGAGGTCGTAAGACCAATAGTCTGTAACATGTAAGAAAAATGGCTACCTGTTGTTGTTGGACAGGGAAGCGACCCCTCGGCACCGTTGGCTCACGGCAAATTTAGCCTGATCGTGTAGCCCGCAGAGTCCTGACTTTTCACAGCCGGCTTAGTAGAGGGATGATACCTTATAGCTCCTGTGATTTCGGAGTGGACTTATCTGCTTACCTCTCAGAACACATGTTTACTGTTTCAGAAAAGTTTGACGGCGGGCAATAGTCAGCGTTGCAATACCGCGACAACTGAAAGTATTGCCACTGAACGGTGGGTGACTGTTTGTTAAACTCGGAGAGGTTGCTTATTTTTTTATTCGTTAAGGGCCGTGCCGCTGTGCGATACTTTTTCAATTCCCGAGTAATCCGCAACAATGCTAGCTGATAGACCCCATCTTCTGTTGCAGTAAGTCAAAGTTGCAGATGTAAAACAACGGCTTCCATTCGACAGTGTTAGTCATCCCACCAATCTCCAGCCACGAAAAAAAAGATAGAGTGGCGATACTAGAAGAAAAACACCACCAAAACTGCTGCCTGTAGAGGTCGGCTCCAATAAACTTCTAAACACCAAAGAGGACGACAAAGAAAGAGAAAAAGAACTAACCCTCGTCATTCTTGTGATTGGATGCAAGCTGGGCAACTGGCCTGCTGCTGGAGGACACTGGCGGAGAGGTCATACGAAGGACGGCCGTAGTGGTGCGCAC